GGCCCCAGCCCCTCCCCGCTCAGACCCAGGATCCAGACCCCCGGCCCCTCCCCCCTCAGCCCCAGGACGCAGACTCCCGCCCCTCTTTCCTGACGCAGGACTCTCACCGTTGGGACTGGATATTGTGCCCCAGCCCGACACAAGGCAGGAAGTCCCTGCGCTGGCACAGGAGCTGGCCACGGCGATGGGCCTCACTGCCCTCCGCAGCCGAGCGGGCTGCTCCAGCTGCAGCAGCATCAGGTCGTTTTCGATGGTCCAGGGGTTGTACTGGGGGTGTGGCACCTGGCGGACCACACGCAGCACCTGCTGTGTTACCTCCCAAATCCTCAGGTTGTGCTTTCCCAGGGCAACTCGAAGGTTCCTGGCCCATGACCCCCAAGAGTAGTGCTGCTGAGGATCTGACCTGGAGGCCTCTCCCCACCCTCCAGCGATGCTCCCTTCCCTGGTGATGAGTTTTCCTCCAGTCTAACCCTCCCTCTAACTGCAAGCTGAGTGTCTCCTGGCATCCTGTACACTTTCCCCCAGCCTCGGCTTTCTCTCTGGACCCGATCCTACCATTCTCCCCTTCCCCTTGTGGGCTGCACTTTGCCTTCTCACTTGGGTATCAGGTGATGGTTGAGTGGTCTTGTCTCTGTCCTAGGGTCTGCACCTGGATCAATACTCTGAGCTCTAAGTGAGACTCTGGGCTGTGGCTCTAGATCAGAATTGATATTCTGGAGTATCCGTTCCAGTTACTCCATTGCTTCAGGGAGGCTCCATTCCAGTTCTAGCCTGGCCTTTGGACTCTACACATCCGGAACTTTTGACTCTAAGCCAGGAGCTGGGTTCTAGATTGAATCTGGACAATAGCACACTTTCTAGATACTGGTGTGAGCTCCAGTTTCTAGGTTGAGTTCTGGGTTCTTGATTAAGCTCTAGTTTATGACCTGGGTTGTAGACAACGGTTTGAGCTCTGTGCTCCAGTTGGGCTCAGGGCTCTAAACGCTGGTCTGCATTCTTGATTCTAGGTTGGGTTCTGTCTTGGATCAAATTACAGGTGATAGTCTGGGCTCTTGGTTCTAGACTCTGGTCTGAGCCCTTGACCTCAGGCCAGGCTCTGGGTTCTAGATGGAGCTCCAGGTTATGGTCAGGATCCCAGGTTCTAGATGTTGGTTCCCATTCTAGAGTCTGGGCCCTAGGTTCTACACTGAACTTTAGTTTATGACATTATATCTGGTTTATGGGCACTGGGTGAGCTTTTATCTGGACTTTGACTTCTAGTCTGGGGTCTGAGGTCCAGGTTTCAGTCTAGAATCTGAGAAGGGCTCTGGGTTCAATATGAAGCTTTGGATTATGGTCTCCATTCTGGGATGTAGATGGTGGGTTGAGGTCTGGGTTCTAGGCTGCTCAGAGAGGAGCTGTAGACTAGACTCTGGATTAAATGTTGGATCTAGAACAAGCTTCAGGTTCTGTCTTTATCTTATGCTCTGAGCTGTAAGCAGGTTTCTGGATTTATGGCTGGACTGTGGGTTCTGAACCTGACTCTAGATTCCAGGCAGTGTTCTGAGGGGAGTCCTGAGTTTCTGAAGGTAGACTGTATGCAGAATTCAACCACTACTCTGGAACAGATTCCTAATCTTAGTCTCTATGTAGAGCTTGGCCTCTGGATGGATCTCAGGTTATGTGTTAGATTCTAGATTCTGTGTGGGACTCTAAGCTTGTGTATGGGTTCTAAACGGTTGATCTGCTTTTAGAATCTAAACTGAGTTCAAGATTTATGGCTGGATTCCACGTTCTGAGCCGGGTCTGTTGTTCTAAGCTCTTATCTAGACCCCAAACCAGGGTCCAGCTACTACACTGGGTTCTACACAGGGCTAGACTCTGGAATTCACTTGGCAGAAGAATAAAGAGGGGTTCACTCACGGATGGGCACAGTGAGCAGCAGTGATGACCCATTCGTCAGACAGCAGGGACCCTCCACAGAGAAAACTACGGTGGGGACCTGCCAGTAGGGCTGCCTGCCATGGTTGGGAGTTCTGGATGCATCTGGAGCCACCAATTATCTTGTCCCCTTGGTTCTGTGCCATGGCTAGGAGAAGGCAAGGGTGAGGTGGAGTGGGGAAAGTAGATGAACAAATGCTCTCCATCTACCCCCAACTCTCTAGGATATCTGGAATCCACAAATCCCCCCTTTTCTGCCTAATCCTTAAACCACCCACCTTTATCTACCCCACCCTATATGAGATATGCCCAACACTGCCCCCATTATTGTCCCGACATAACCAGGGAGTTTTCTGACACCCCCCCACCCACAGGCACCTCCATAGTATCTATTATTGGATCCCAGGGCCACCTCATCCAGGGTCCTGATACAGCTACTATGCTTGACTCTGCTTTTCCATGAATACTTTCTGTCATCACTTTTCACAATACAGCACAATTCCACCCAGTAATCCTCCAACACCTTCAGGGAGCTCCCTGTCCCTTCCCCAAACTTCTCACTCAATGTGACCCCCCAGGATCCACTATCTCTCCCCACACCCACTCTCCCTGCCGGGAGCTCAGCATCCCATCATCATTCCCACCATCATTTCTGGCAACACGTTGTCTTTCCCGTATTAGTTCTTCCCTAACACAATCAAGAAGTGTCCTGCTGTCCTTTCTAATAAGACCCAGTCAAGACCTGATAGTTTTTCTCAATTCCTCTTTTATTTCTCCCCGTCTCCTACAACCCCCTGGACCCTGCAACCTCCTAATACCTCCACAACTTAGAACTTAGGCGCCCCCTCCAGTATGCTCCTCAGCCATGATCCCCAAGCTACTCCCTGCCCCTTCTCATCAGGTCATCTGTGAGCACATCGGGTCCCCAGGACCCTTCCCCATCTCTTCTCAGAGTCCAGGCCCCACTGCTGTCTTACCTACAGCCAAGATCTGAAGTGCTGTCAGCAGGAGGAACATTCTGAGGGCTGGGGGTTGGATTCTGGCAGATGCAGAGAGAAAGTGAGGGTTAAGGAGGCTGCGAGAGACCCAGAAGTTATAGGTCAGAGACAGAGCGTCTTAGACAGAGACTAAGACCTTAGAGACATGGATGAGGGACAGAATAGAGGCCAGAAACCAGGAGGGCAGCGTCTGGGGGCTCCTTGGTGGCTGGAGAGAGGATGCTGAGATGGGTTCAGGTCCTGCCCTGATGTCTCCTGTCTGGAGGAGTGGGGAAGATGTCTTGCTTCCTTGTCACTCATGGAGGCCTTTTATTTCTGGTCTGAGTAGCTGGTGCTTCTCCTCCACCCTTCTGACTTTTTTTTTTTTATTGCCTACTTCCCATTCCAGGATAGCGTGTCCCATCTCTTCTCTCTCCTCTCTCACCAGAGAAGTAGTCCCAATTGTTAATGAGAACCTGCCTGCCTGGTAGGTGAAGGTGTTGTAATCTGGAAGGAATCCAGGGAGGGGGACCCCAGGGCAGGGTGGACAGGGTGGGGGTGGGAGAGAGTCTGAGAGAGGGAGGGACAGAGACAGAGAGAGGGGCTGCCATGGGAGGAGAGAGAATCTAGGAAATGTGAGAGAAGTAGCATATGAAGGTGGAGAGGCAGAGAAGGAGTAAGAGAAATACAGGCCAGAGAGAGAAGAGTCAGAGGCAGATAGAATTTAGGGAGACGGACAAAGAGCAGATAAATATAGATGCGGAAGGGAGGCAGATAGAAAGAGACAAAACAGATGGGGACAGGGCACAGGGACAGACACTCATGGAGAGGTGAGTGTGGAAAAGTGAGAGACAGAAACAGAAAAACAGAGGGAAGAAGGGGGAGGCAGAATAGAAACAGGCACAGAGAAAGAGAACAAAATGAAGAGAGAGAAAAGAGGCAGAGGTACCCCAACTCCAAACACACTCATACAGAATAATAGCAGTGATGATGAAAGGAGGCCAAGAGATGACAGATAAAGAAGTGGTGATACAGGAACAGTGAGGCGGAGATGCAGGCCCAGGCAGGCGACAGTGGGGAGACGGAGGGAGAGCGGGACGCAGAGGACACACAGCCGCAGAGGAAGAGAGAAGCCGGCAGGAGACTGGAGGTGCTGGAGGCAACTGGTACCAGGTGGTCCTGTCTCCTAGGCTTTCTCACTTTGTGGTCCACACAGTCCTGAAGGGTGCGGGAGCAAGGGCCCCGGCAGGGAGTGAGGGCGGGGGCTCAGGGCAGAACTTGTGCCCCCCAACTCAGGCTCTGCAGAGAGGTCAGGGGAGAGTGGGATACAGGGACCCAGAGAGAGGGGGACAGAGACCCAGAGAGAGGGGGACAGGGACCCAGAAAGAGGGGGACAGGTGGGGAATGGTTCCAGGCAGACAGAGGAGGGCCTGGGTTTGGGGGACTCATCCTAACTTTGGGCAGGGCTAGCTGGCCTCAGCCCCTCCCCCAGCCTCTTAAATTCCCTAATGACTGCATCTGTCTCTGGGCTTGGGCAGCCCATCCGGACCACCACGCAGCGACTCAAGAGGCCACGTCTCTGCACCCTCCCTCCCTCACCAACCCCGGGGCTTGCTCCCAAACCACTTTCCTCCCCTTTCCCCCTGGGCTGGTCTCTGCCCCTAGGGAGTCCCTCTGTGCCTCTGAATCCACATGCCCACCTAGCCCCCTGTGCGTGTCTGTTTCCCGTGAACTGGCTCTGCTGAGGGCCCTCGCTGCTTTGAACTGAAGGTCTTGGCTCAGGCCCTGGTAAACCAGAAGGGCGAGATGCACAAACAGAAACCCCTCTGAAGGCGTGGGGTGGCACGGGCAGCTGCTCTGTGAGCGTTCAGATCTGCATCTTGATGCCATTGTGGTTACACGGATCTACACTTGGGATAAAATTACACAGAAACGCACGTGCACATAGGTGCACAGGCAACTAGATGCACGTAGACAACGAACACCGAATGAGACCTGTAGTCCGGTCAACAGCATGGTACCCTCGTGGATTTCCCGACTCTGAGTTTGGACTGCGGTTATCTGAGCTGTCAGGCCTGGGGGAAGCTGGGGAAAGGGTATTGGGACTCTGTACTCTCTGTGCAGCTTCCTGGGAGTCTATCATTATTTCAAAATAAAGAATTAACAACAAAACAAATTCCTGGTAAGCGCAAGCCCTGCCCCCCCTCCATTTGAGCAGAAGGCTGTGATTTGGGGGACTCGTGGGGACCCTCTGCTGAGCTAGAAGGCTTAGGTAAACCTGAGATCTCCCTCTTCCTAGAAAGAACACTAGCTTGAGCGCAAGGCCCCGGCAAACCCCAGGGATCGCAAGAAAAATGCTGGGGATGCAACCACAAATAGGGCTCAGTTAACTGCCTTATCCTCCCCGTTCCAGCCCCTAGTTCCCTCAGTATCACTGCCAGGCTACTCATTCCCCTCCCGTCAGACTCCACTCTGGGCTGCTTTGCTCCCTACTCCACCCGCCACAGTACTGTTTGCCACGACAGGGGTCCTCAAAGAATATTTGATGATGAATGAATGAATGAACATATGGCCACAGTCCTTGCCTTCAAGAAACTCACAGTCTGGCAGGAAAGGCCTAAGAGGCAACAGGAAAGTCAGTCTGGTGTGATTTGTGCTCTAATGGGGGTGGGGGGTGGGAAGGGGTGGCAGTGTTGAAGGGCCTGATGAAGCCCCAGGGGCGGGGACAGTGTTTCCAGAGGGCGGTCTGCCTAAGCTGGGTATCGCGGCTCAATATTATAAAACAACCTAAATGGGAAGAGAATTTGAAAATACGTGTATATGTATAACTGGGTCACTTTGCTGTACACCTGAAACTAACACAACATTTTTTTGTTGGTGTTTGTTTGTTTTAAACATCTTTATTGGAGTATAATCGCTTTACAATGGTGTGTTAGTTTCTGCTTTATAACAAAGTGAATCAGCTATACATAAACATATGTTCCCATATCTCTTCCCTCTTGCGTCTCCCTCCCTCCCACCCTCCCTATCCCACCCCTCTAGGCGGTCACAAAGCACCGAGCTGACCTCCCTGTGCCATGCGGCTGCTTCCCACTAGCTATCTATTTTACATTTGGTCCACGCCACTCTCTCACTTTGTCCCAGCTTACGCTTCCCCCTCCCCGTGTCCTCAAGTCCATTCTCTAGTAGTTCCGTATCTTTATTCCCGTCCTGCCCCTAGGTTCTTCACGACCTTTTTTTTTTTAGATTCCATATATATGTGTTAGCATATGGTATTTGCTTTTCTCTTTCTGACTTACTTCACTCTGTATGACAGACTCTAGGTCTATCCACCTCACTACAAATAACTCAATTTCATTCCTTTTTATGGCTGAGTAATATTCCATTGTATATATGTGCCACATCTTCTTTATCCTTTCATCTGTCGATGGACACTTAGGTTGCTTCCATGTCCTGGCTATTGTAAATAGAGCTGCAATGAACATTGTAACACAACATTGTTAATCAACTATACTCCAATACGAAATTAAAAGTTAAAAAAAATGCATTTCCAGCGTTAAATTGTCAAAAAACAAAACCAAAAACAAAACCCACACATGTACTGAGGTGTTGGTTCAGCCAGGTGCTGTGCCATGTTCTTCCTTCTGCTTTTTTTTTAATGTTCAAAACTTTTTAAAAATAAAACTTTTTATTGTGGTGAAGTATAATACATACATAACATAATAAATACATAAATATAATAGATACATAACATAAAACTTACCATTTAAAACACTTTTTAAAATAAATTTTTTTTAATTTATTTATTTTTGGCTACGTTGGGTCTTCGTTGATGTGCTCGGGCTTTTCTCTAGTTGCGGCGAGCAGGGGCTACTCTTTGTTGCGGTGCACGGGCTTCTCATTGCGGTGGCTTCTCTTGTTGCGGACCACAGGCTCTAGGCGTGCGGGATTCAGTAGTTGTGGCACACGGGCTCTAGAGCGCAGGCTCAGTAGTTGTGGCGCACAGGCTTAGTTGCTCCGCGGCATGTGGGATCTTCCAGGATCAAGGATCGTACCCATGTCCCCTGCATTGGCAGGTGGATTCTTAATCACTGCGCCACCAGGGAAGTCCCTTAAAACATTTTTAAATGGCATGAAGTACATTCACTTGGTTGTGCAACCATCACCATCCGGCTCCAAAACCTTTTCATCTTCCCCAACTGCAACTCTGTCCCCATGAAACACGGGCTTCCCATCCTCCCTCCCCCAGGCCCTGGTAACCTTCATCCTACTTTCTGTCTCTATAAATTTGACTACTCTAGGTGTTTCATATAAGTGCCATCATGTAGTAATTGTGTGATTATTTTGTGTGTGTCTGCCTTATTTCCCTGAGCGTAATATCCTCAAGGCTCATGTCAGAATTTCCTTCCTTTTTTTTTTACTTTGTTTTGCTGCATCATGCAGCGTGCAGAATCTTATTTTCCAGGCCAGGGATCCAACCTGCACCCCCTACAGTGGAAGCGCAGATTCTTAACCACTGGACCACCAGGGAAGTCCCAAGAATTTCCTTCCTTTTTAAGGCTGGGTCATACAACACCGTATGGATTAGCCACAATTTGTGTATCCAGGTAACTTCTTTATGTGGGTTAGCTTCTTTCATTCCTCCTTCCCTCCCTCCCTTCCTCTCTCCCTTTCTCCCTATCCTTCCTTCCATTCAACAAATATTTCTTGAGCACCTACTAGGTATCAGGTATGGTTCTAAGTGCTGAGGATATAGCAATAAACAAAATAGACGGAGATCCCTACCCTCCTGATGCTTCCATTGTGGAAGGAAAGGCAACCAAGCAAAAGAAAGTTAAATAAACACAATGTATACTATTACAAGTTATGAGTGCTAAGTGCTAAGGAGGAGGTCAGTGTCTGGGGAAGGCCTGACTGAGGGGATCTTTGAGCAAAGACCTGCAGATTGTCAGGGATACTGGGGGAAGACTGTTCCAGACAGAGAGAGCAGCATATGCAAAGGCCCTGAGGTGGAAGGAGGTCTGATGTGTCTGGGGACCAGTGAGGAGGCCAGTGTGGCTGGTGCAGCATGAGCCAGGGAAGAAAATAGAAGTAAATGAGGGCGGTGAGGTCGTGGAAAGTCCAGGCTCCATGGGCTAGGGACTATCTTGGGCCCATTTTACAGTCTGAGAAACGGAGGCTGGGGGAAGGGGGAAGTGGCTTGTCCAAGGTTATCCAGCTGGTAAGCGCAGGAGGAAGCATACAAACTCCTGGACTCTCTGAATCCTCCCTATGGTCTCCCGAGGTGATCTGAGCC